GTAGGATTGGTCTTAGTATTCGTTTCATAGTTCACTGTGATTGAATTTTTTGATAACACCACTACCAAACTTCAATCAAGTTTTGTCGGCTTTTTCTGGTTTTAAACTTTACAGGTCAGTTGGACAAGTCGGTCTCCAGTTCACCTGTCACCGATTGAGGCCTGGCAGGAACGATGCACACCGTTCATGTTATCCAATTCTGAATCAACCTTGCCTAGATTCAAGATAAAAAATGGACCCCCTTTTCCGCCAAGCCCCAAATTCTGATCCAGCCGACCCCGATGAAACCGTCTTGTCTAAAAGGAATTCCTAGTCGAAATAGTATTATAAAAGATTTATCCCCGTCGTGATCAGAGGAACCCGTTCTGTTCCAGGAAGTGAATCGGATATGCCCCAGATGTCAGGCGTCCTTGACCAGATTTTGACCTAAACGGTGCGGATTAACGGTTTAAATCAGGAATTTATGAAGAAGCCGATTTCGAAACTTATACAAACTCGGTTACCGCGGATTTAGTCATTTACGCCTCGTATAATCATTTGTGTAACATTCTTAATTCAAAAGGCATTCGTCTACTTTTGCTCAAGTTTGGAAAATATTACTTATGTTTTTCAACCTTCCTTGGTAGTAATATTTCTTTCTTGAGTCATTGATTACAAAGGCAAATTTAATTATTTTTTTAATTTAATATAATGATCATGTGCATTACATGTGAGATCGCAGAATTCCTTTGGCAATTGGTCATGGATTAATAAATTTGCGATAATTGGTCGTCAACTAGACTCCGTCTAGCTTTCTCGACGTGCCCTGGATTTTGGCAAAAATGCCGGAAACGGATAAACGCCCACGCATCAAATCGAGTTATTGGTAGGCCCATAGACACAAAATACAATCTCAAAATGTACATAAAATCTATATTCTATCTAAAGTTGGTTGTTGGTATCCGTTGAAACATGCTAACCTGGCTAAAGAAAATACACAAAATAGCAAAATTATTTGTCAAAATTGACCTCGTTTTTTAAATGGAAATAATAGTAAGGTTTTAGGAGCCCGACCCCATCATAGCAAAGCCCCCGCAAACCACGGTGCAATGGTTAGCTCCAGGCCTGGAAAAAAACGGATCTCTTGCAACTAATGCTTTTAATCTTGATATTCTACCCAGGACTTTACGGAGGAGGGGTCTAGTCACCATCGACACCTCCTCCCAGCTAACTGGAGATTCCTTGATCTCAAAGTCCGGGGAGGCATCCCTTGGACGGACTGTCAACTGTTACTTAATTTCTAATTCGAAGTCCTGATGAAGGATATAAATTTGAGTGCTCTACGTCTGTCTACCTGGGCCTCATCCGCGATACTTTTTCAATCAACATTAGAATTTGAGAAGGCTGATCACAAAATAACTACATACTAAATTAATTATTATGTATTATGACAGTTCATTTTCAATTCTATATATTTAATGATAACCCATTTATAGAAAAAAGTCTAAAATAAGACAACAGTTTGTAGCCTTTATTCTATAGCAAACGGTGTTCATCTTCGTGGAAGATCGTCGCGTCGTATGATTATTCGCATAGGGGATAAAAAAAAAGAAAGAAAGTATGTTTTGTTCACCGATCCCGGTTCATCCATTAGAAAAGAAAATCTTGACAAGACTGAAAATAAAGCGAAAGTGTGCCCCTTTTATTAGCCGTATGGATTTTGTACGGAAGCCGGAGGTGCCCTGCCGTGTCGAGAGTTCGTCTTCCGATCCTAGAACTCGTTAGACAATTTTCGACCCACTTTCTTGAAAGGCGGGTTGCCTTAATTTTTGCGCTCCTTAATGTAAGTCCGGCCCAGTGTTTAGGCAAATCTCGTTTCCAGTTTGCCAGTTTTTACTGTTAAGTTTAATTGCCGAAAGCCATTCGGCTCTAGGGTTTGCAAATCCGCCTCACTGGCAGGTAATTTATATACACGTGGACAGGTTGATTGGCAGGTCAAACTCTTTTAAAACCGTTTCCACAATAAATAAATTTAAAAAAAATAGCTGCCAAAATTTAAAAAAAAAAATTCAAACCAATCTCCATTGTTTATTAATTTTGTGAACTATCTACTTCAAAACACGTTGATTACACAAATTTTCTGATATATCTGATATAGCCACTTGACTGAAGTTGGCGCAAAGCCGAAACGCGTTGGATTAGTTCAACAAACCCGCAAGTGAAGAAAGACTCGAAAAGATCAACATTAAAAGGAGCGTGGCAACCTCTCTAAAGCACAAGCTGGATTCGTGTCGGCCTCCGGGTCGGCAGCGGACGGCGGGTGATTTATCAGAGGCACACGAGGGTTAGGGTACCAGATCTTGTCTGCAGGGTGCATTACCATCTGAACTACGGGATAGCAGAAAACAATCCTCCTACATGGAGTTTGAACAAAACCGCGGCCGGAGCGGATCCGGAAGTTCTTACGCTGGAGGAGCCCCAATACTCTGGGACATAGAGCTTCCTTCTCTATCTAGGGAGTCGGTGCGACGACCCAGGCTGATGTATTTCAGCCACCTGGGGTTACCTTTTGACGTGCGGCACACGGTCTGGTGCTTAATGCAGCCCCATCCATTCGGAATGGGAAAGCGGAGAGTGAGGTCCTTCTCGGCGGGCGGCTTCTAAACCAAAACTTGAGGCTGTAACACCCATCCAGTCACGAGCCGGAATTGCGTCATCTCTCATCTTGAGAATCAAAACGTCCGGTAGGGCCGAAAGGCTAGTACGGACGTTAAAGATACCCATGTCCTTTTAAGGGCTCTGAGTAAAAACGTGAAAGGAAGACCAACACCCACATCAATTTTTCTGTTAGTGACTGTAAATTTTATTATGTTGAAAAATATGCATGTTCAAAGTAAACCCATGTCCCATACTTTAATAAAAGCATGATAATACAAATCAAGCAGTTGTATAAAGTTTTATGAAGCTTGATTGTTTTCATTGTTCATAAATCAATTATTTATAGAAATTATGAATAGTGGAGTGAGTGAGGTGTTCAATCCTTCAACTTGATGATGAGCTAAAAGCTCGAAATCCAGATCGTTGGAAAACAACTTACCGTGAGTAGGAACTATCTTTTTAAAAAGGATCATTTATTTATGTTTTATGAAAGGAAACTAAGATTTGGGGAATTTTGGTTCGATTAAGAAAAGGAGTGAAGAACAACGAAAGCAAAAGTTGGTTATAAATAAATGAGGAATAGAACCTGGGGATGATCTATAGCTGTTTTCCATCAAACCCTTGTTATTGTTTTATAGTTACCTATCATCATGGTCTGCCTAACCTCGCTGATTTCGGCATTTCGCCATCTTCAGTGTTAGGGTAAGTTCTGTGTATTCATCACCCCGCAGAACGTTGGAGATCTCGCAATTTGACCCTTTTCAATTTTAAATTATTTTTTTCGATCAATTGAATTTTTTTAAATTTCAAATTAATTTTTGCTCGCTTCAAATTAACCGTTTTTTATTTCAAATTTAGCCTTTCTTTAATCTATTAAAGTAACAAAAAGAAGTTAGGAGATGGCGTGAAATATGCGTAAAGAAAAATGATTGCATTGGAAAAAAATTAAATATAAAACAATGGAATTTTAAAAAAATCCAAGAGACCATATAGCAATTAATTATTATTACAGTTTTTATAAATCATGATAAATCATATTAAACAATAAATGAGTTTTCTTTGAAATTATTTTAAAAATATAAAATAATCCGCCTCTTAAAAATCACAATTTCTGACGATTCCCAAATTAAATAGAAATGGAAAATAGAATTATGAGACCTCCTAGGAGGACTCTGGACTCTCCCTGATTGATCAGGGGGAGTCACCCACCTTGGTGCCTGATCGACTCAAAAGTTGGGCTCTGATCGGGCGCCATCGACTTCTTTGGTCATTTCGGCGCTCTTACATTCCCTAAAACTAGTCGTTCTCTCACTCAATCACACAATATACAGGGTGCGTCATTTTTTGACGCACCATTGGAAAATCAACGTGGGTGCGTTTAAATGTGGCTCGAGGCTTATTTCCTTTGATTAATACGTTAATAAAAGAAANTCAATAAAAGATCGAAACGTTGGCACGATAAAGAAAATGTTTTTCTGAAACCTACATCACACCCGACCGCATCTCACGATATATGAATAACTATCGATTAACGGTCACTAATCTCTACACATTTCTAATTGAGTTAATGTTTAAAAAAAGCTAATGTGACGTTAAAAAGCGTTTATTTCAAGATAAAAAGGGTTAATTTGAAATGAAAGTAAGTTAATTTGATGTTAAAAGGGTTTACTTGAAGATTTTAAAAAAAGGCAATTTGAAGATTATAAGGGTTAATTTGAAATTTTTATTTTTTTAATATTTAATTTTATTTTATTTGAATATTAAAAAAAGTTAATGTGATGATTAAAAGGTTTATTTTAGAAAAAATTCATTTGAAGGTAAAACAAAATTTTTCATGATTAAAAATTAACCCTTAAGTTCATTTTTTTAAGTTCAACCACAAATAATCTATGAATTTTTGAGTTTGTTGGGTCTTATACCTGTAATTCAATTTTTCCATTTTCAGTCATGTATGTGGATTCCATGTCAAATTTTTGTAGCGTTCGATTTAGGTAAATGGGCCGGAATAGTTTTCATTTGAGAGTAATGGACACATGTTGGGATGTGTTTTCATTTATTTTTATTCTCCATTTTTGGAATTATGGTTCTAATGGGTAGTTAGAGATCATGAGGAAGTGGTGTTGGAAGACCCAAACTGTTAGTTGAGGATCAAGGTTTGCAGAGAGGATTGCCATCTCGTCTCACCAGCAAAGATATGGGTGATTGTGTTGAGTTACACCGAAAGAAGTAATGGGCATAGAATACTCCCTTGAAGAACACCTAAGGAGATAGAATAGAGGTGAGAGGTATGCACCAGAAAGGAAGGATTTGAGTTTCAACAGTGACACTGGTGCCAACCAGCCCAATTAATAGTAAAGTCTAAACATATTTTCATAGTTTTATTTTAAAAATAAATACACACTATGGTAACAATGTAAAAACTAAAAAAATTTAATACTGTTCACTATAAATTAAGGCAACGAAAATCACATATTGTTATCTTTTATCATGTGAGTTTGATGATATATATTTTTTAAATACTAAAAGTTTTAATCTTTAACTTTTTTCTGTAGGTCCTTTAGTAAGTCCCAGAAGACTAGAACAAGGACTGTATGAGGACCAGTCCTTATGTAGAGAGGGACGACCCCTTTATAAAACGCGCTTATTCCCTCGATGCGGTACATTTTTGTAACACAGTCAAAATAGCTCGAGTAGAGCAACCCTCGTCCATTCTTATCCACACCTGTAATCATTATATTAATAAAAAAATTCACAACAGATTTTATGTCATTACCTTGGTTGTACAGCCTTGTCGATATCACATCTAGAGGATTCATGACGACAGTCACAGCAATGCCACCGATCATGCTTGACAGGAATGAATTCATGAAGCCCTTTTCTATTTGGTATATCTATATTAAAAAATATATATATATTTATGTATATCACAGATTTTATCATGTCATAACTTTAACCTACATTGTTCTCAGCAAAAAATTCTTTCAATAAGGTAAAACTGGTCAGTTGGGTTGCAGATCCAATGAAACGCCTTGGAAGGGAACCGCCGACACCACGCCACAGCCCTTTTACACCCTGGGTTTTAATTATTTTACGAATCTCTGAAAAAGTTCCCTCTACATCATGCTGAGTTCCTACAGCAATAGATTTACTAGACTGGGCCTGCATCTGGACTTTAATCTATACACATTGATTAAAATAATATATCATGCTAAATTCCATTATTATTCTTTTTGCATATATTGTTAAATGTATTTAGCATATAATTTTTACAATTATATTGAATGCTATTAAAATCTGATAATAGAAGCTTATAATTTTCTTCTAAGCTTGCATTGGTTTAATTCAGTTTGTACAGTAGTCATACCAGAAAAAAAGGACTTCCAGAGAAGGCAGTTACGACACCACCGACAGCTGCAACGAGTGCAGTCTTCGGTATAGAGACCTGACCATCTCCTTTGAGTGTGATCTTGTGGTCTTCTGCTAGCTGAAACATGCCAAGGCGTATGCCATTCATGAAGAGCTGATGCCAAAGGGCTGGAGCAAGCCCTTTTTGCAGACCTCGCAGCCCATCCGTCTTGCCGATTACGTACATGGCATGGAAGAAATTCCTGTAGTGCACCGCATAATGACCCTTGGCTCTAAGCTCTCCTTGGAGTTGGAACCGAGTCTTTACTACCTCGAGCGGATTTGTTATTGTCGTGGCAGCCATTGCGGCTAAAGCTCCCACAGCAAATTGGTCCATTCTTACTGTAAAATATTATCAAGACTTACAGTTTTGTACCTTTTTAAAGTCCTTGTCACTGAAGATCACACATGACATTGAAAACAGTATTTAAACCTTCAGCTTACATGGTTTGCCCATGTTTTAAAAGATAGCACCACAAACCTATTTGACACCACAAGAAGACAACAAAAAAGATTGCTCAGTTTAACAAAAATTACAAAAATATATTATGTTATTAGCATTACACATAAAAATAAGATTCAATGAAATAATAGTTCTTACAGAAGAAAGAATCTTGGTTCATGCGTACCAAATGTACTTAAAGTTAACTACTACATTATATTCAAAACATACAAACTGTTTTTTATATTTTAATTCTAGAAATGTTAGTCTTTTTTTATTAATTAATGTATTTGCTAAATAATATTTTTTAGAGTTTGTAATCAAAGATACAAAGAATAAAAAACTTGAATTGTGTAAATAACTGAAATGTGTTCACATAACCTTTGAACCAGATGTTTGAACAATCTTTTTTTTATTAATAAAAAAAACGATTTAAATCAATCATATTAAGTATTCTGCTGTTTAAAAATTACAATCTGATTTTGGTAAAAATTGAATCTTTATTCATACATTTGCTTCTGTTCTCATTGCACTGACAATAATTGTGGCAGATTTTATTCCATTATGGACAAATTTAACACAAACTCAATTTATTTATCAGTTCAAAATTATATCCATTATTTTTTTACATTAGTTACAGGTATTTAGGAGCTATCACAGCTAAAAGAAACAGTAAATAACAATTTTATCCATCCAGTCACTGAGGTTAAGCTCCAGATGCTGACAAAAGCTAGGTCAATTCAGAACCGAACATTATTACTAGGTCCTAAATTTAAACCCATTCACATTCTCATTCCCTCTTAAATACATTATTTCCTAAATACCACTCACTAATTACGGTAGCAGAGTACTTGATATTCCACCATCACCCTTTACACATACTTTTTGATCAAGAGCTGAAGTTTAAAGAACATATTTCTTAAATAAAAAATAGATCTATGAAGATGCTAGGTTTCATCATCTGGAAAACCTATTTAAAAATCCTCTGTTTTGTCCATCTTTATAAAGCTTTTGTTCAACCCATACTAGAATACGCTGCACCAGTTTGGAACCCATACTATCTAAATTATCAAAAATTTATTTTTTAAAAACTTTCTTACAAACTCAATCTTCCTCTGAACTCCGCCAACCCTGGAATCCGCTCTCAATTTAAACTTTTTGAACTGGCTCTATGAAGGGATTACTTTGAAATTGTTTTTGCATTTAAATTATTAAACAATCTCATTGATAGGCCTTTTCTCCTCTCTCAGCTACAGCTTCACGTCCCTTCGCACTCTTTCAAAACCCACAGACTATTTTATATTGACTTCCAAACTCTAACTACAAGCTCTCTTCTCCTCATCACTGCATGATGATCAAAAGTAACAACATCTGCAATAGCATTGACTTCGTCAATAGTTCTGTGCAATCTGTGAAAAACCATATCCTACAATCCTAGTCTAGTTGAATTTTCTTACCAATTTAAATTTTTTTAAATGCTTTTATATCTCATACTGTTAAACGTTTATTACAATTTATTTCATTTGCTGGTTCACCTAAATCTTGCACTCTAGTCTTATTATACAGGGTGAATTGCTACTCGTGCTACAAACTTCTCCAGTAGATTCTTCACCCTAAAATGAACAAAAAAGTTCATATTGTCCATGGTCCGATTCTCAACCATTTCAGAGTAATTTCGCTTTTTATCGATTTTGAAAGATATCACGTCCTGGCGTCGGAAAATCGTGATATCTTTTAATCTAAACATTTCTCTGAAAAT